CCGCATAAAATACAGCAACAACACAGTGCAAAAGTGCTGGCATAAAACTCAAGAGCCCAATGCAGACAAACCTGGAAGGAATGGAAATGCTGCACAAACAGGTAGCCAAACCAGAGTGAAACAGATACTGTAAGATGGACCAATAAATGCAAATCACAAATTATTTAGGAAGATAAAAATCTGATATGAATAGAAGGAGAGACTCACACAGGCAAAAAGCAAACAAACGCAGTAAGGTGTTTTAATAAAGTGCTTTAGTGATGTGCCTGCCAAGCTGGAAGAGGGTAGATTCAGGCAAGACATTAGGAGGAAATGCTTTAGCATGAGGGTTGTGAGACACTGGCACAGGTTGCCCAGGGAAGATGTGGAAGCCCCATCCCTGGAAGTGCTCAAGGGCAGGTTGGCTGAGGCTTAGAGCAACCCGGTCTGGTGGGAGGTGTCCCTGCCCACGCAGGTGGGTTGGAACTAGATGATCTTTAAGGTCCCTTCCAACCCAAACCATTCTGTGATTCTATAAAATGTGCTTCAGTCCTTCTGAAAAGCTCAAAATGGGAAACTGGCTGGAATACAGTCTTCCAACCCTGCACCCATAACTTGTATCTGTGAAAAAAAGACTCAGCAGATGGACAGGGAAACTGATTTATTTCCTTCAGTCTTTTTCCCTGCTGTAGGGATGGGACACAGCTAAGACATACCTCTTGACTTCAAACTTTTTGAGCCCATTAAGTTGGGTCCTTATCCTTAGCTAACAATGTTCTTTTTTTATTCAGCTTTCTGAGTTCTTATTCTATCCATATTAAAGAAGCTGACATTTCCGGGTGATACTGTTGTCCCAAAAAATAAATGGCATCAATGCTGCATAAAAAAGGGAGAAAAAGACATCTGAATGAGGAATAGGCTAAGAAAGCCCTGGATAGTTATTGAAGACTTCTAACTGTGCTTGTCTCTAGCTGCAGAAATAGGGACAAAGCTGACAGCTACAAGTTTTAATGCACCTCTAAACAGTTTATGTTTCAGTTTTACAAAACCAAACCAAAACAAACCTGTATAAAAATCAAGGTGCCTGTCTGGCAATGGCCTGGTTGAGCTTTCTGGATGTTATTTCCATATAAATGATGCCACCTTTGCTTCACAGAACTACTTCTCAAGAATCGAGATTGAGCTTTAAGAGCAGGACATTTAAAAGAAGGTGCAAGCTGGGCACCTCTGGAGTGGAAATGCAGACCACAGAGAAGAACTGTGTTTCAAGGAAAACCAGCTGTAAGGGCTCACACAAGGTTTCCAAATATCTGATTTATGAAAAATCCAACCCCTCCCTACCCACTCAATCTGCTAAATGCAAAACATTTATTTGTCCATCAAATTTAGTTACAGTTCTGCTTCAACCACATCTTCTGAAGAAAGAAAGGGGATTTACTTGAACCCGCTGATCAAGATGTGGTGGCAATGTTTACTTTCAGGGTGCACTTGAGACCAAAGAAATTCCATCTCAGCAACACCCACCTACTTGCATGCCACACCTGAGGCTGTGGACAGGGCAGAGCATGCCCTGCATCCTCTCCAATCCCAAAGCCCTGGAAAACTCTCTTGTGAATAAGCACGTAGACAGCACAAGCAAATGAAGACATCCCAAGATAAACAGGGAAGATAAACAACGTTTCTTTCTCTGGCAAATGCCGGCTACGGACCATTGCACAGAAGGAGATCACTGTCTGCACATTATAAAAGCCTTCTTTTTTCTTTAAATTTGGAAACTGAGGCATGTCTTTAGTATTACACCAAGGAAAAAAGGGCTAGAGGGAGCATGCCAGGTCTTTGAAATCCAAGAAAGCATTTCCAAGAATTGAAAAGCTGCCCTTGAATCCTTTGCAGAAAACCAACTCATCCCTCAAAGGAAACAGCTGTCTTTGAGGGACTAAATCTATCCAGAACAAACAGAGGTCCTCAGCCAGAAGTAAACTCTACATATAGCCACACTGTTGTCATGGTCAAAGACATTTCAAGTCAAATAGCAAGGAAATCATACCTTTAGTCTAGCCACTTGTGAGACTCTTACAGAAAACTAAGTTCTGTTTATCTGAGCCTAATCAGCAATGTGAGACTTTTAATGAAAGATCTGTGTATAATGTATACAACTACAGCACTGTGTTTCTACTCCTAGGAAGTCATAAAAGATTACTATATTTTTTAATGAGAAAAGGGCCTTTCCTCACCTCTTTGACTGTCAAACACATCCTTTCCATTGACAAAGGCAAACTTGACTAGAAAGAGAATCAGTTAGAAGTCACAAATGAGTAAAGAAAATTCACAGAATCATCCTAGTTGGAAAGAACCTTGAAGATCATCAAGTCCAACCACAACCTAAATCCACCAACCACAACCTAATCTACCCGTTCAGTGCTTAAATCATGTCCCTAAGCACCACATCTGTATTTCTTTTAAACACTTCCAGGGATGGTGACTCCACCAGTGTCCAACCACTCTCCTTTCCCTTGGTGTTGTCACATTTCACAAAGTCCTCCATTTTACCAGCAGAAATAACTTCTAATTGGCTCTTCTGGGGCCTTCAGACCAAGTCTGATTTCCTTTGAATACTGGAAAAGTTCCCCAGCTCTCATCCCAGAAGCTGTGCTAACCAGGGAGTAGTCCTGAAAAAACCTTTCTTCCTTCTAATTGCAGAGGTGTCTCAAAGGTATTCACCTCTCAATATTCTTACAGAGCTCCTTGGAAATGAGCCAAAAGGCCAAACCCAACTCTTCCCCAGTTTGTAATTCATAAGAAATAGAAGCTGTGTTGAAAACCTTCTCCTCCATACAAGGAGGGGTGGGAGGGAGAGGGGGCAAAGCTAAGGGATAAAATCCTTAAAGGCTATTTTAATCTTCAATCATTTGGCTTGGTCAAACAACAGTCATTCCAATGGAATGTAGACTTGTACTCCAACCAGGGTTTACTGTTTCTAAAATAAATGTCAGGACATGGAAATACATCCATGCTAGATCTTTACTGTGGAGTACCTGCACATCCAACAGTCACTGTTCCAGCTGCACAAAATAAAAATGAATCAATCTGTAGAAGAATGAAGTTTAACAGCAACTCATCACATTCTTCTTCATCAGGAAAGGAGAACAAAACAGAAATCCCATTGCTTTTAGAAACAACCATCCACTTAAACGTGCATATAAGGACTCAAAATTAAGGAAAGCCTTAAGTAACTGTTACTTGCATGCTCTTTTGGTCCAGCTTTTACAAAAAATATGACACATTTTTCCTTAGAACATGGATATGTAACTCTAAACTGAACTCAGCACTGAACTTCTTACAGGGAGTGTAAGTTTTGGATCCTTAAAGCCCATAACCACAGGTATTTCTGAGCTGGAGAAACCACAGATGTAATCTCTGCTTTTGTTTTTCCAGTTTCTCCACACTCCTTTGGAAAGACAACCTCCATTTCAAGTATCCATGCAAAAAACCCTTGACATTCCTTCACAAGAGAGGCTTGCAAGGTTAAAAACGTATTGAGAGAGTAAGCCAGGGAGCAAAGATGTTTCAAGTGGCACCTACAAAACTCTGCTCTGTGTAGAATTAGTTAATGATATTGATGATAATGATTCCCATTGTTGTACCTCTAATCTGTCTATTCACCAAGTTATCTCAAAACACAGACTGGAACTTATTAAATCAACCAGAAACAAGTTTTCTGATCATCACCAATGCAAATCCTTGAATTTCACAGGTCTGTGATCACTGTCACAAGATCTGCTCCACTTAGGAATGTTGCTCAGTGTTTTCATCCACAGCCCTGCTTGAAAATAAACAGTAGGAAAGGAAGATAAACCACTCAAAACTCTTCATAGCCTTTTTTTTTAAGTTTTATCTTGCACAGTGGAAATTCAGTAGTGGGCAGAAGAAGATAACAGGTCCTTAACTTTTGACAAGTCTCTCCCTTCAGCAGAATCCTGACATCTTATTGGAATTTGAAGGACTGTGCAGAGAAAACAAATGTTGGAAGGCAGGAGCAGATGGGAACCTGCTTTTCCACTAAGAACCTTACAGAAGAAAACAACCCCACACACCACCTACCACCATGCAAGATTCTGCTCTTGGAGGATAATTAAAAAACAAGCAAATCACAAAGTTTTTAAAGCATTTGACATATTACATTGAGCTTCCTTTTAGTTTAAATACTACAACACCTCAAAATTTAAAGAATAAGTATAGCAAATGCTAAGTAAAGGTCTCAGCATTAGAAAGAATGTACATTTCAGAATAAACACTGGCTTTTCATGCATAACCATTTCTACATACCTCCAAGATTATAGATTCTTAAAGTTATTCTTAAAAAAACATGCAATCTTTGGGGTTTTCTGCACAGACTAACTAAAGGACAACACTGTATAAATACAAGCAGCAAGTGACTATTGGGGAAAGAGGGCAACAAAGGGACTTCCTGAATAGAGAAAGGACTCTTCAGTTCAATTTTCCCACACTGTGGGGGAATGAGCTTCCAAACGACTTGTTTAGGTTTTTTTTCTAAAGTCAAGTACACACTACGTTTAAACATTTTAAACATGTTACAAAATGTCTTATTTTTTCTAAAACATTAAAATTGTCATTTAATGTCACCTTCATCCCAGCTCTCATGTCATCATGAGGTGTCAAAACAGGCTTTTGGGGAGTACGAAGTGGTAAAAGTCAACAGACAGACATCAGAAGTGGTATCTAGGCTGATAACCACTGTTCTAAAGGTCAAGTTTCCATTCTGCAAGACTGGGAAGAGTTCTCATCTCTCTAAGATAACACACAAGCCTACATCGGGTTTTTCTGTTCTGAAGGGAAGTTGGTACCACTTAAAGCATTTTCTGAAGTTGCTCACAATTCACAAGCAAAGATGCTTTAAAAACAAACCACAAAACTTCCATGCTTGTTCACTCCCAGATTTTCACTTCCCTGGTTTTTTTTGAGAACCAAGTTATCACTTAACCTAAAGATGGCAGACTTACTCGGACATCGGTAGCATCGCCGTGCCGGATGATGCTGGCCCACGTGGTCGGTTCACTGCTGTTCTCAAAGTAGTGAAAAACCTTTAAGACTCGTTCCATGGCCCCTGGGGAACGTTCCATCCCAGTACTGAGGTGTGTCTTTGCACTTGAACTCGGTGTATGATTCAAGTTGGGATCAAGGTAAGCTGCTGCCATGGTTTTGCTGGATGCTAGGTATCTGTCATATTCTAGGAAAGGGAAACAAACAGTTCATTGAAGTTGGTTATAACTGCATCTTAAACCAATTCATACAAAACACTTACCTGCAACCCACATTTTTAAAGGACACTTATTCGACTTTTCTGGAGTTCCTCCCCAAAACAATTATACATCTACACACATAAAAGACCTACCCCAATGACTACCAGACACACTGCAAGCCCCTTGGAACAAGTGATCCCAGTTGGAACAACACCATCATTAAGAAAAGAGGTGTCTTTACCAAGACTTCTTCCTTTAGTTTCTCAGTGACTTGGCCCCTGCCAAAACCTTCAAGACTAAATAGCTCCTTCCAGTTTTAACAGTACTTCCCATCCCTAAACTTTCCCAAGCTTGGTCTTGCAACAGGCCTCTGAAAATCTGCATAAGGAATCCCTCACAGGCCAATTGCTAAACTGGAGGCTCTCCAGTAGGAAGCTGCACACCAACATCAGCCTCTCCTGTTCAAGGCTGAGACACTGTCACATCCCTTGTTCCGTGCTATTCTGGGTACTAATGTTGTTGTCAGTTATTCTTTCGGAACAACAATGTGATTCAAAACCATCCAGAGTTAAATGCATTATTCACAGAGGAGCCATTAAGAACACCAGAGTCCCTCCTCCCATCAACTACTAAATAAGCAGCCAAGTTTTATCATCGACCAGCCAGGTTTCTAAGTGATTTCCAAGTCTGGTGTCAAAAGGCATGAACCACAGTATGAGTCTGCATCTCAAAGAAGGAAGGAAAAAATTGCCTCTTGGCTACTGCTGCAAATTAGTCAGCCACAAGCAGATGGTGTCTGAAAAATCAATGCAGTACAAGAGAAAAAGAGCAAGTTATCTCCTCCCTTGCCTGACAGTCTCAAGCATCACTCCAGTCTCCTGGCTGGAAAGAGCAAAGAACTGCAGGGCTTTGCTCCAGGGCTTGGACAAGTGCACCAAGCTTTCTGTACTTCCCCCTCACAGCAAGCAGCCACGGAGGGGGAGGAAGTTTTGGAAATCTGGAGATGTTAAAAATAAAACAGACTTGATCTTTTTGGCATAGTACTGCAAACATCTTTCTGGTAGTAAAAGCTGGCCTGCAAAAGGGAGGTGGAGGAGAGTGAAACTGCTTCAGCACTGCTACTGAACGCCCTGAACCTTAGTTTACTTCACTGAGAGGCAAAAGAGAGTGACCCAGGCTTCCAGCTGAGCTCCCATCCCACCTGGCTGCCCCTCAGCACAGCTTCAGCCACCAAATGCCCCCACCATGGTGCTCTGCTGACCTCCCTGACACCCGCTTCACAAAACTATCAGGGGGAAAGGAAGGAGGGGAAAAAAAAAGGAGGCTGGGGCTTTTTTTTAGAGTTGGCTTAGTTTTGTACCACAGCTGGCTGAAGTAGCTCACACCTTCACAGACGAAGGGAGGCAGAAGCAGCCTGTGGGCAGGGGCAGGAGGGCAGGCTACTCCCCTCCAGCAGCAGCTGGCCATTACACCAGTCCACCAGTAATGTCAAACCACACCGTGAGCTCAGCTAACAGGAATCCAGGCTTGCAATCTTCAGACTGGAGATAACATCACTTGCTAAAGGCTAAAACAGGAGTCGAAGTCTAACAACACAATCTTAAGCGTTTACCTAATTCAGATCCGCAAGATAAAGGGGAAACAAACAGCCCATCTCTGCAGTATGTCTTTACCTCTTGAATAAATGGTTGAATTACATTCAGCCAACACAACTGCTAAGGACTTAAAAGTAGGCAGTACTGGGTCAGACAAAAGGCCTCTAATGTTCTGCCCTCAGGGAAGACGGGGAGAGCAAGCCAAGGAGACACTTCTCTTACACCTCCCCCCAGTTCCTGACCCTTGAGGGACTTCCCCCACCTGCCAAGTCCCAGTTTAGTTCCATATCCCTGTTGCCGCTAAAAACTCAAGTCACTACTATAGCTATTGTATCTTGCCTTATTGGGCTCTTTTCTGGCAATCGACACAAATGTATTAAACCAACCTTTATGCCCACTTTAAAGCCTTTGCTCCTATCCACCCTACACCAACAGATACAGCTCTGAAAGTGCCAGGAATCCCATAGCAACTCTCGACTTATCCTCACTGAAGGAGCTTATGAGCTGTTTTCATGTAAACTTTGACTTGAAAGCTGAAGCAGGTTATAAAAATCTCCCCTGTGGCAGACTAACACCAAGACAACATGACTGCACATGCTGCTAACTGCAGGGCTCCTCTCCTGTAAGGTCAAAATAGCCATCATGAAACTCCAAATGCCCAGGGCTCTGGTGAGTTTCATCAGGATAAATTAATAACAGACAAATTCACTCAAAGACCTTCAAAAGTGCAACTGCTAGAAATGAAATGGAAGTTTGCAGGCTCAGGCTTGGACTACTTAACTTCTGCATGATGTTCTGCCTCCTTCAGAACAACCTCTGCCTCAAAGGCACTAGTAAACATGCTGAGCTGTATTTCAAGCTTATGCACAAAAATGGCAGAAAAATCTCCTACAAACCAAAGCAAGAGTAATTGTTTAGTACTGGGGAACTACAAGAAAGCCTCTAAAAATAATTTGCATATATCTTTAACATATGCATTCATCAAGTTTTATCTGACAGGAAAAGAACAGCGAGAAAAGCTACAGGAAAATGTAGGAAGAAGCATTCAGAAGACGTCTGACCACACCCTTCAGACACAATCTACATCCCTTGGGAGCAGCAAACAGCACAGCAACAAAGACATCAGTTCCTACACACAGAAATGCCCGCAGACAGCATCATTTCAGGCAAAATGTTACTGCAGTGTTTTCATATTAATTACATGGAAGGGAAAATGTGGAATCAAACATCAGACTGACTGTACAAGGCACAGGCCATTCCCTTGTTTTTACAAGGGTTTATGGGTCAAAGGTTTATAAAGGTACAATAACTTCCTACATAAAACTAGGAAAGCAGGTTTCCTTCACAATCTGATCATCTTTGCGTTTGTTACAACTTCTTTACCAAATTTCCACTTTATGAGGTTCCAAAAGAGCAATAAATCTGATAGCTGAAGTTATGGAAACACATGCTGTATCTCTGGTTACAGACCTATTAATATTCCCCTTACAACGAACCCTTGGGTTTCAGTTTAAAACCTGAGTGTAAAACTCTGCCCCAGGACAAAACTTAGTAAAACAGAGCTGCTCCTGACCCAAGGGTAGTTAAACAACTATTTTACAAGATACGCTTGGTTGTTTGAAGATACACAGACAGCCAAGATTACAAGACTAGGATGCTTACTTGGGTGCTTCTAAATTAAAACCAGATTGGTTTGTAATCTTGCCATTAGAGATGTCAGTTTAAAAGAGCAGCTTTCTTTAGTCCTCTTAGTATGAGAGAGACAAGTAGCATGCTACTGTGGAGCAGAAATAAGCTACAGCCAACTAAAAGGGCAGATTTAGACTAGTTGTAAGGAAGACTTTTTTTTTTTTTTATGGTGTGGTGAGACACTGGAATAGGCTGCTCAGAGCAGCTTTAGATGACCCATCATTGGAGGTGTTCAAGGTCAAGTTGTGTGCCAGCCATCCCTCCCAGCTTCCAAGAGCAAAGACTATTGTTCTCCAAACCCACTTCACAAAAGTTTCTCAGTACTGTAAAGAGTTACTCTACCCTTGGGGAGCAGAACAGAGCAAACTAAACCTGGTCTGCTGATAATTACGGGCTCTGATAAGATAATGCAGTTGTTACCAAACTCTGATGTTTTTTATTGTTCAGAGAATTTCCTCTACTGTGGCTGAGTACTTGAGGTTTAGGAAAGTATATGGGAGACAGTTAACCCAGATTTAAAGATAAAGCTTTAAAAAAAACAACCCCAAGCCCAAACAAAACCAACAACACTGCACTCCACAGCTTCTCAAGTGAATGACAAAAAAGCTTTTTCTGCTTCTTTCTGGCTTTACACATTTCGGTTTTGAATCACAGAATGGTTTGGGTTGGAAGGGGCCTTTAAAGGTCATCCAATCCAGTACCCCCTGCAGTGAGCCAGGACATCTTCAACAAGAGCAGGTTGCTCAGAGCCATAGATGTTTCCAGGGACCTGGCTTTCACCACCTCTCTAGGCAACCTGTTCCAGTGTTTCACCACCCTCCCTGTAAATAATTTCTTCCTAACACCTAAACTAGATCTCCTCTCTTTCAGTTTACACCCATCACCCTTTCCCCTGTCACTACAGGCCCAGCTAAAAATCTTCTATGTGTCTTTCTCATAGGCATCCTTTAAGTATTGAAAAGTTGCAACAAGGCCTCCCTGGAGCCTTCTCTTCTCCAGGCTGAACAACCCCAACTCTCCCAGCCTGTCTCCAGAGCAGAGCTGCTCCAGCCCTCTGATCATCTTCATGGCCCTTCTCTGGATTTCCTCTAGCAGCTCCATGTCCTTTCTGTGTTGGGGGCTCCAAACTGGACACAGTTCTCCAGGTGGGGTCTTACAAATGCAGAGTAGAGGGACAGGATCCCCTCTCTTGACCTGCTGGCCCAGAACATGCTGGCTGCAACACCCCTAAGTCCTTCTCAGGGCTGTTCTCAATTCATTCTCCCCCCAGCCTGTATTTTTGCTTGGAACAGCCCAGCCAAGGTGAGGACCTTGCACTTGGGCTCAATGAACTTTGAAGTTGGCATGGGCCCACCTCTGAAGCCTTCCCTTCAGCATGTTGACCACAGGACACAGGTTGGTGTCACCAGCAAACTTCCTGAGGGTGGACTCCATCCCACTGCCATGTCACCGACAAAATGTTAAATAGCACCAGTCCCAGTACCAAACTTTGAGGAACACCACTTGTCGCTGGTCTCCATCTGGACACTAAGCTGTTGATCACTACTCTCCGGGTGCAACCATCCAGCCAATTCCTTAACCAGTGGTCTATCCATCAAATCCATATTAATTTCACACTCGGAATTCCTTAGAAACATCCATAACACATCTCACATCAGACAGTAAGCACCACACGAATTTCAAGCTCAATCAATTTTCACAGT